ATGCGAGGATTTTTTTTGAATGTGAATTGTGCATTTGACATTCCTCAAATGTATGGTGTAAGTAAGTCAACGAGTTCTGAAAATGACTTTGAAAGGAGTGTTTCAAATGGGTTAGGTTCGAGTAATTGCATAATAGAAAGTACAAACGGAGAAACTTTTCGTAATTTGATCCCACCACGATGACTCGTCTTTGACAAATCAGAGAGTTGAGTAACAACAAAAATTACAAGAATAACAACTTTTCGATAATAACAGAAAATGCAAATTAAAAATCTTGTTGGGTTGAAAAAAAATTGTGCTTTTTGGTGTCCAAAACTTGTAAAAATTGATTGTGTATTTTTATAAACGTGTCCGCTTGCATTACCTATTTTTTAAAGAAGACATCCCAAACAATAAAAACTTGTGAAAAAATAGAGTACTTTTCTACAAAAAAATAAGAATGCCAAAAAGTGATTATTGTAGTGTTGTAATAATGAATAAATTAAATATAATTAAAAAAAGTCTTGTTACATTAATTATATTAGAATAATTAATAATTAATAAATTTGAATTAGAAAAATAAAAAAAACAAAAAATGCACTAACCGGGAATTGAACCCGGGATCGTTAGCTTGGAAGAAAAAACTCTTGGCTTCTGAGGCCCTATTTATTTAATTTTAGTGCTCTAAGGTTAAATAAATTTTATCTCTATTGACATTGAAATCTCGACATTGAAAACATTTCTTGTTTACATTTGTTTTTTGATATTTACACGCCAAATTTGTTTGGAAAGACAATTTTAATTTGTTGTTATTATATCGTTTTCACGTACATCACACGTCGCGGTTGATTTTTGAGTGCATTTTCCTTTGATATTTTAACACTCTCTTTTCTCTATAATTAACGATTTATCGCACTTAATACATGTTTGATAAACTTGTTTGATACATTTATTTATATTTATCTAAATTCAAAGTTCCAGATCAAAATATCGATTTGAAAGTTTTGCATTTGATTGGTCCATTGATTTACAAATAGATGTTTTTCACTGGATATTGAATTCCAATTAATACCATATTCTTTATTAATTGATGTAATTATTTTACGTTTTCCAGTCATTTTAGTTGTACAGTGAACTATAAAAGGACACCCCATTAATACACCCGTTACATCGTTATGCCCATTAAGTGGTCACCTTTTTTACTAAAAAAAATAAATTCCAACGTAAACAAAAATAATTTATAAGTATTGTAATATTTTAATATTCACCACATTTTATTTAAGTTATTGTTTTAATTGTTTGAACTAATTATAAATAAAACGAAATAATAAGCGAAACATAAATTTCAAATAATTATTGAATGAAATAAACATGTGTAATTTTGGTTTATAGCTCGTAAAAACAATTCAAAAAATACATTCACTTTATTCAAAGGCATTTTTGTGGTGATTTTATTTTGTTTTAACAAAAAAATAAAAAACGAACAAAATAAATACAGTATAATTCGGGATCAATTCACTTAAAATATTTTGGAATTATCGGGTTTAATTCCACTTTTTTTCAAGAAAATTATTCTAAATGATTTTTAAAATATAAATAATTGTTGGAATTAACTTTCGGTAGTTTCATACTTATAATATTTTAATAATTATTTGATTAAACCAATAACCAAAAGTTGGTATAGGCTTTTTCATTGCTTCTAAAAATAAAGTTTTTTTTTAACAATTTAATATAATATTTTAATTAAAATTATAATAAATGGGAGCTTGGGATAATATTTGGTCTGGTTCCCGAATTAAAAATGTGTCCATAATTCACCTCAAATCAGTGGAAACCGAGTGAGACTGAGCATTGAAAAGAAAGCACAAACGGTCGTACGCAAACAGTCTGTTTGTGCACCGTTTCACCTACTTTCCAAGTCCTCCCTTGGCGCGGATCCCCCCTGACCCCCCCCGCAAGCGGGAGGGAACCACACTCGTGTTTATATAGTACGGACAAGGAAAGTGGGTGACATGGGGACGCACAAACGATAGCTGAAAAATGGACTTCCTTCAAAAAACACTCGCGGCAAATATTTTTTTTTGGTAAAGCTGGTGGTCAATGTAGGTCCCGAAAAAAAAACAGAAAAAACGATTTTAATTATTTTCAAAATCAAAATTGATTTTACCTTGTTATAAATTTCAAAAAGAACTGATGTCAGGGATACGCGATATATTATGAAGAGAAGTGGAGGGGGCGTGTAATTTTAACAAGCAATACTTACGATTATCCAGTTTGTATCAATAATGTTATAAATGATTAATTAACCACGAGATATTCATTTAAACGAACGTTTATTATATGACGTCATGTTACAAATGTGATATTTCGTTATCAAAGCTGTTATTGTATTTTAATTAATAAAATGTTTGGTGCTGATTACAGTTTTTATTTTTTCTATATCTTTTATTGTTGTTGGGTTTATTAAAACATGAGTATACTTTGTCTTGATTGTATTTTTTTCAAACTCATAACATTTTCTATTGTCAATAGTATAAAATGTTAGTTTTATTAACATATGTTCAATATATAAAATTATATTATCAAACAAATTGGTTAATATAAACCACTTCTTTATTAATTTTTAAAAATAACTTACAACAACAAAAAATATTATTTAATTGTCATTTTTATTAAGAAATGAACATTGATTTAAAATATAAATATTTTTTTAATTAAGAAATAAAAAATAGATTCCTGATATTTACTTTGTTGTGTTACTTGTTTGCTCTAACCAATGAAAATACCGACTCTATAAAAATACAAAGTGTTATTGTTTGTTAAATTATTTTTAATTCAACAACTTTATTATCCTTGTGATTGTAATAATTGTTTGTAAAAAATGTAATTCATTGTTTTGTTAAATAAATAAGTTATAATAATTAAAACAAGATAAATTTGTCTTTTTTAATAGACATTTTTATTTTTGTATCTTGACTTTTCAAATAACAGTTACTTTCGGATTTAAAAAAACAAATTAAATATTTTTATATTAATATAAAATTAATTAACAACAAAACAGACTTGAAAAGAAAAAACGATCAGAGAATATAACAATTAATTAAAATATACCACACAATTAAAACCGTCCGGCCAACAACATAGAATATTTCAAACACAACAAAAAGCTTTTTAATGAATACTTTTTATTTAAAATTTTAAAATATAACAATTATTTTTAAATTTAAGTAAAAATACACTAAAAATGGCTAAATAACATAGATAAAAAGAAACACAATAGCGTTGTTTTGATTTTTCAAATTTAAAGAACAGACTGCATGATTCTCATAAAGTGTTTTCGGGTTCCAACTTGTGTAAAAGAAAAATAATAATTGAGTCACAAGCATTGAATATATTATAAAACCACAAAATAATTCAAAACATGGCATATAAAGATGCAAAATTCTTGTATTTCGACATGTTATTTATAGTATATCGTGCCATTATTTGATCAATAATACGATAATTAAAAATAGAAAAAAAATAATATATAAACAAGATTTTGATAATCTAATTCATCAATTAATGATATACAACTACATTCAAAGTTAATCACGAAGTTATCTACCTCAAAATCTTCGTATTGACCAAATGGAGTTAGTTACAATATAAGCTTCAAACTAAAGAGCTTGTAAATGGTTTCCATATACATATTAATGGAAACAATGAAAATTGATAATAACCAAATTATACGTCAAACAATATTGGCAATGTAACTAAAAATGGAAACAAACATAACAAGAATATTCTTTACTTACAGTGAGAATAATACAATTGAAGTGTTGTGTGCAAAATATATTAAAAACGACAAAAATTAAACATGTTTAATTCACAACACGTATCCGAAGGCGTCACTAACTTAAGAGTAGCAGAAATTATTTGTAAATACTCTCTTCATTGTATCACTATTTAAAGTCAATTAAAAGCCTTCCCATTTGGTCATGCAAGCTTTGTTTAAATATTATACACAGGTTGTTTTTTCTTGTTAAACATTTAAAATATTAACCACATAGAATATAAGCACCAAATAATAGGCCGGCTTTTGAAGAGTCGGCTAATCATGTAAATGAAAATTTACATGATTTATATTACAATTCAAATCCACCACGAACACGATATCATCACTATGACTCTTCTACATGCAAAAGAGTCTATACTCATTTCCGATACATACTCATGGTAATTATTAATAATATTCAAACAATTTATAAACATTGCTTAAATAGCAAACAATCACAACTTTATATATTAATGCAATATATTTAAATACGAGCGTTTATTACAATCGACATTTATAATACCATTATGACTCTTTTATTAAAAAGAGTGCCTCTATGTTGTAAACGGACTAAAATTATAACGACCATGGATCAAACTTTATTGATGATTCGCGTTTAAATAGCATTATATAGTATTCAAATCAACATAATTCACGGAGGATTGGGTGCTCAAATTATGAATATAATCTTGAGCGATTCATAATAATTAAAGAATATGCAATGAAAAACTGAAAAAAAGAAAGAGTTGTTTGATTATTATTGAATGATTACCTTGTTATTTTATTGAATTTAATTAATAATTTTCAAAGATAATTCGATAATAAAGTAATTGGAGAGATGATATTTTATATAAAACTTTTTTTAAAAAAGTTAAAATAATAATTAACTAAATTTCTTGATTTTTGAATCACTTGAATTTCTTTAGTTTGTTTTATATAAAGTGTTAAAACAAGAAATATAAACATTTCAAACGTATTTTGAATTAAAAGTGGTTTTATTTTTAAATCGAAAATAATAAAAACAGTTATTTTTGAAACTTTAGGTTGTGTTAATATTATTAAAATGAAAATATAGAAGCGAACCATTCCATAAAAAATAAATTGAATTACAACAACAATACCAGTAATCCAATTACCAATGCGGTGGTTTCCATATATCCAAAATCAACAGTATCCCCATCGTCAATTCCATTAAATTTGGATATCACAAGTTTATCTCCTTTATTTTTTTGTGGTGCTCTAACCCAAAAAAATCTCCATTTTGGAGTTTTCTGAAAGAGTCATCTCTATCACCCCAACCCGTAACATCTGTGACAACTTCAAATTTGTTTGTGAGTTGCATATCGCCATTCATAGCTCCCAAGTGATATTCTTTACCTTCTTGATATCCAATTAAGAACTTTTTACCATACTTAGCAATGCACCCATTTTGTTTACTTTCTCTATTCTGTTTAATGTTGTCGATTTTGGTTCTTTTCTTATTCTTTCCTATTGAAGCAATCAGCATTTCCTAGACTTGACTTCGAGGATTTTCTGTAGTAGCAGACTCCAGTTTAATTGAGTTAAATATTAGAACGCATCCATCTCCATTTTCCTCTATACCACCAATTTCCCCGGCTGTACATCCACCTCTATTGGCCGCATGTTAATAAAGATTATACTGGTCTGAATTCTCTGCAAAAATACCAAGTCCTGGATATAAATCAGAGTCACAAACATGAATCATTGTTTTGGTGTTATTATTCCAACCTTGTAAACCAGACATCATATGACTGCATCCCCATGGCCACACCTTTTCTACTTCACCGTTGTCTGTCACTATGAAGAGAGCATCTCCTTCGTGTCCTTGTTTGCTGTCTTCTGTTGGATCGCTGTGGACGTGCGTGTATATGTGGAACTTTTCATCTCCATAATTTACACGACTGTCACCAATGCCATAACCTTTGTCTGATTCAGCAAGAACACTTGAAGGGATCCACTGTTGTTGAAGCTCAAGATGTTTGGTGTACATATCTTTTCCTGTTTCGTCAACTTTTCTGAAATAAATCAGTGAACTTATAAATTTTCAATAAATTTATTTTTTTTAATTATTATATTTATTTATTATTATTAAATAAATGTTATTAATTCACTTAAAATAAATTTAACAAACTCTTAAAGTTTAAACGTCTTTGTTTTTCGAAAGGCGAATTTTTTTTGATTCTATTTATTTTGTGACTTTTATTTTCATTGTTTCAATATATCGGGACCTACATTGACCACCACCTCTTAAAATAGATTTATTTTTTCTATTTCGAATCATATTCAAATTAAAATTATAGTAAATAGGAAACTGGGAAAATACTAGGTCTGGTTCCCGAATTCAAGAAATGCCGAAAAATCGCTACGAGTTAGTAGAAACCGAGTGAGACGCAGCATTGAAAAGAAGGCTTTGAAAACACACTCAAACAGTCTGTTTATGCACCGTTTCACACACTTTCAATGTCCTCCTTGGCGCGGATCTCAATGAACGCCCCGTTTGAAAAGGGAACTACATTAGCGTCCAAAGTACGGAGGATGAAACTGGGTGACATGGGGACGCACAAACAGTGACTTAAAGGTGGACTTCCTTCAAAAAACACTTGCGGCAAATACTTTGTTAAGGTGGTGGTGAAACAAGTCTGTTTAAATAAATAAAAACGAATAAAAACTCGAGTTTATTATGTTCTTTTTTATTTATTCATCATTATATAATAAGTAATTCATAACATTATAGTACCAAAAATAGTTCTAGAAACAATAATAATGTATTTTTATCCAAAAACAATTATTCTGATTAATTTGGGTGAAAGCCCAATTATTTTACATAAATTTAAACAAAAAAATAAAACTATGATTATAAAAACTTAAAAGTATTGTTTTTATTATTTTTCTTACTTTGGGTTTAATTATTTTCGAATGAATTAAACTTGATTATTTAATTAAACCCAGATTATACTGCACATTTTTATTTCTTTTTT